CTGCAAAGCCCCCGGGCACGGTGTGCCCGGTCCCCCACACATGTCCCTGTACCCCCCGCAGAGCACCCACCAAAACCAGCCCCCTCCCTGCGGACTGCCCGGGCTGGACGCCCACCCGCCTGCAAACCCACAGCAACTTACTTTGCTTGCTCGGCAGCGACTCTTCTTGCTTTTCTGAGGCTGCTTCTCCTTCATCAGGGGTTTTATTGGGATAGTTACTGGACACGTACAGTTTGTTTATATCCAGGGTGGTCTTACTGAAGGGAGCCATGGAGGAGTACATGCTTGCATAGCCGTTGGAGGAGCAGCTCAGAGCAGCCAGGTCCAGCGCCTTCCCTCCTGTGATGATGGGGATGTTGAGGGAGAGCTTCCTCCGCCGGCTGGGGGACGAGGACTTGGTGATGGAGAGGGGGGGAGGCGAGGAGAACTTGCGGTTGGCTCTGGGGGACTTGGGGGGCTCGCCGTACAGCAGCTTGTTGTTCTGGCTGTTTGCGAACAGGAGCTCCAGGGACCTTGGCGGAGAGATGGGGAAAGGCTGAACTCGCATCTACTCTGCCTGCGAGGTCGTGGAGATCCCCACCGGCAGCTCCAGCAGCGCTGGGGCTCCACGGCATCCCCCTGGGCACAGCAGAGCCAGCGCCAGCCCCTGCCACCCCGCTCCCACCACTCAGCCCTCCCGGGAGCGGGGACACCCGCAGAGCTCGGGTTTATCTGCCTCCCCGATTTGCGGGTATCCCAACTCATGGGGACCGGGTGAAACAGCCCTGGAGTGGCACCGGGGCCAGGCAGGTCTGGGGAGCAGAGGACTGACTTGGGACAAAGAGGGGACGGAGGAGCGATGCCTCACCGTGCGGGGATGGCGCTGATCGGCTTCTTGTAGATCGTGATGAGCTTGTCGAGGACAACCAGGGCAGTGGTGAAGACACGGTACGAATGCAGGAACGTGTTCAGAAAGTCAATGCTCAGGAACCGCAGGTCTGTCAGCCTCTCCAGGAGCCGTTCCACGCTTGCATAGCGGATCTGCAGGACCTTGCAGGAATTCATCGTTTTACTGAACCTAATGTCAACATCATCACAATACAAGCTGGCATCAGACCTGCAGAGAAACAAGATATCTGTGGTTCCAGCCTGGAACGAAACCAAGAGCTGCTTCGCACAAGCAGCTTCCCCCCGAGATGTGCGGGGACCACGGAAAGCGGTACAGGTCCTCGGCAGCGAAGGAGCCTCGTTCGAACGGAGGTGCCCCTATGTAAAACACAGGCGGGAATAATCCCGGGGGATCCCCACCCCAGAACGGGTGGAAACACTGCACAGTGCTCAACAGGCAGAGGTTTGTGCAAAAATGGTGGAACTTCTGTCCCTGAGGGACACCCACGAACCAAGACCCTTCCCCGTGTGTGACAGCAGGGCGGGCGGTCGATGTGGCGGGGACAGTCCCCGCGCTGCCCCGTTTCACCGGCTGTGCCCAGCCCCCCTCGTGCCGCACGTGTCCCTCCTCGGGCCGGGGCAGCCCTTGCACCCAGCACCCACGGGTACGACAGCCCCCTGCGCCCCTCTCCTCTGGGGGCTTCACCCCCCCACCCCTTTCCTATTATTATTTTTTCTCTGAGCTCTCCCCTTTGACCTTCCCACCTCCCCGAGTCCAGTCCCACACAAATCTCCTCTCCCAGCTAATTAGCGCTCCTAATCACCATGCTGGGAACAGCACACCCGAGTGCCTGAGCACATGGGAAAGCCGCTGGGCTCCCGGGGCTTTCGGCAGCGGTTGGGGGGCCGGGGGGGG